GAAGCTGTCTTTTTGAGAGAGAGAGAGAGAGAGAGAGAGAGAGAGAGAGAGAGAGAGAGAGAGAGGTTTTTTTCCATTTCCATTTCTATGATGCTGTTGTGCACTCACACACACAAATGCCAGGAAAACAAATCCAAAGATTGTAAAGCAAAGAAAGTAATGGCGCAAGAAGAAAGGAGCCAGTCAGTATACCTGGGAGTGGAAGGCTAAATCATAGAAGCATAGGACTGAAAGGGACCTCAAGAGGTCATCTAGTCCAGTCCCCTGCACTCATGGCATGACTAAGTATTATCTAGACCATCCCCTAACAGGTGTTTGTCTAACCTGCTCTTAAAAATCTCCAACGATAGAGATTCCACAGCCTCCCTAGGAAATTTTTTCCAGTGCTTAACCACCCTGACAGTTAGGAAAGCTTTCCTAATGTCCAACCTAAAACTCCCTTGCTTCAAGTTAAGCCCATTGCTTCTTGTCCTATCCTCAGTGGTTAAGAAGAACAATTTTTCTCTCTCCTCTTTGCAACAACCTTTTATGTACTTGAAAACTGTTACTATGTCCCCCCTCAGTCTTCTCTTTTCCAGACTAAACAAACCCAATTTTTTCAATCTTCCCTCATAGGTCATGTTTTCTAGACCTTTAATCATTTTTGTTGCTCTTCTCTAGACTTTCTCCAATTTGCCCACATCTTTTCTGAAATGTGGTGCCCAGTACTGGACACAGTACTCCAGTTGAGGCCGTAACAGAGCAGAGTAGAGCAGAAGAATTACTTATTGTATCTTGTTTACAACACTCCTGCCAATACATCCCACAATGATGGTTGCTTTTTTTGCAACAGTCTTACACTATTGACTCATATTTAGCTTATGATCCACTATGATCCCCAGATCCCTTTCCACTGTACTCCTTCCTAGGCAGTCATTTCCCATTTTCTATGTGTACAACTGATTGTTCCTTCCTAAGTAGAGTACTTTGTATTTGTCCTTATTGAATTTCATCTTATTTACTTATTTACTTATTTACTTCAGACCTCCCTCCTATACATACAAATGGTTTCATTTACTTCACAGGAGTAAGGAAAGAAGGATGTGGCACTTGATAAACTCAAGAGGAGACAGACATGTGGAACAAAAATGGCTAGCTATTGAAATTCAAGTTTAAAAAAACTGTTTTTATATGTCTAAATACTGTACAGGCAGTTATCAGATAAAGGAATAGACTTTTGAACCAGACTTGTGAAGCTGATTGTTGTAAACAGAATATTGGTAAAGCAGCTCTCACAAGCAGAATGCATTCAGCTCGCAAGTAACATATATTAATCAAATCATGGGGTTTGTTTGTTATTATAGATATGCATGATTAAAAATTAAATGTTATGTAACATGAATAAGAAAGTAGCTAATAGGGAATAAGTATAATACATTATACTTAGAATGTTTTATATTCATGATGATTTGTAGTTAGGTGCTGTAACCTTTGCATGACTCATGCTATGTATACTTCAGGAGAATATAGCAAGGCTTGAGAAATACATGCAATCCACCAGCCTTTGGGTATGCTATGCTTGTCTATCTGTTGCTTATACAGATCTTCTGTCTTGCAAATGTGTACGGAGCCAAATAAGAGAAAATCTGTAAGGTTTATAGTATTAACCAAAATTATATACTATATTATATATAATATCACCTATGTTTTATATAACTATGAATTTTATTCATATTAATCTCTTTCAGAATCCTTTTTCATTATGTTAAACTGATTAATGAAGGGTAGATGTGAAGTATTGTAATCTCAGTGTTAGGTATAAATACATTCCAGAAAAAAAGGAGAAGACAAATTATTGTGTTGATGCTTAGCTCTCATGCCCTCTGTACCAAGCTATAACTGATACAGGATGTCTCTAAAGTTTTGCTGACTTTTGGAATGCTATGGTCAAAATAAGATAATAAACTAGTTACAATCTCTATTTTGTTTACTGGAAGGACTGTGCTAGCCTAGCAAAAAGTTTCCAAAAACATGTCAAAGACAATAGATAAGAATGATAGGTTTAAAGTAATGCAAAGAGATTGTGAATTCCTCATCTGGGGTAAACAACCCTAGTATATATAAAGGCAAAGTGAAGCACTGGTTTTGAGACAGTTCACCAGATACACTGATGCCTCCCAAATGGGTTGGTAATGTATTAGCCTTCCTTTCTGCATTATGTTCCATTAATCTTTTAGCAATAATAATTGATTAATGAAAATGATTAAGGGCTTGTCTACACTACCACTTAAGTTGATGAAAGTTACGTTGCTCCGGGGTGTGAAAAAACCACCCCTGAACAATGTAAGTTGCCACAACTTAAAGCGGTGTCTACACCTTGCTATGTCGACACGAGACAGTCTCCCACCGACATAGCTTCCACCTCTCACTGAGATGGAGTAATTACGTCAACAGGAGAGTGCTCGCCTGTCGACATAATGTGTCTTCACCAGATGTGCTACAGCGGTTCAGCTGCACCAATGCAGCTGTGCTGATGTAGCATGGTAGAGAAGACAAGCCCTGTGACTAGCTATTTAACATATCTTGTTATTGAATGAAATTGAACTTGTAACAATAGCCAACACCTAAAGTTAAGGTTTCCCCAGTACTTTTCATTATAAAACTCTGTTTTCAATTGCTTATAACTTTGCTAAGCTTAAACCATTTAGGTTGATTTTTAAACCAACGTGTCTGCCTCAGGTTGAATTCTTTGGGAAGTTTCAGCTAAAATAGTTCAGCTACTTTTCAGAACAAGCTTAGGGGAAAATATGTAGTTTTGCCCAAGTTAAAAAATGTCTTGCAGCCATTTCATTGAGAAGATGTGCTCTATCACCCCCATGCTTTGGAACACAGACTAAATTTTGCAAAGGGGGTCACACAGGTGTCAGAGATGTGCTTTTTGCAATCTCTGTGACAATTAAGTCCAAAATGGCCAAATAAGAGTCTTCTGAAAAATCTCAGGAGGACCATGCTCAGTTGAGATTTCTTAGAGTTTGACAGCTAAAGCATCTGAAGATTCCATCATTACTGGGCAAGCCACAGTACAGGGCTGTAGCAGTGAAGCGGTACTTTTATGCAATTGCTCCTTCCAGGAGCTGGGGGCCACTGTGGCACCATACACAGGAACTGAAAACAGGAAGATTGTCTCCCCTTTGCTCTCACTGCTCCCCTTACTGGTGCTCAGACAATGTGAAGGTGAAGAAAGAAGCTTCCAGATTGGAATGCAGAGGAGTGTGAAGTGGGGGACAGTGGCAGGGAAGAGATACAGGGTGGGGGAAGGGGACCAGAGCTCAGGAATAAAAGGGATAGGAGCCTGGGGGAGAGGGAGAAGAGCTGAGGGGAGAAAAGTACAGGAGCCATGGAGGAGGAGGAGGAGGAAGAGAAGGAGACTGGGCTGGAGCTGGGGACAAGGGAAGGAGCCAGACAGTGTGGGGGAGGGGAGCAGGCAGGAGGGTTGGGAGGACAGGAGCAGAAGAGTACAAGGAGAGGCTGGCAGTGGAAGTGTGGGCGGGGGACAGGATTTGGGGGATACAGTGGAACACAAATTGAATTGGCTAATATAATTCTGGGGTGTGTTAATTTTTCAAATTGAAAAAGGCTAATATAATTCAGGGGTGTGTTAACAAGAGTGTCGTGTGTACGGCACAGGAGTTAATTGTCCCGCTCTCCTTGGCAATGGCGAATCCTCACCTGGAATATTGTGTCTTCTTCCCCCCATCTATACATGAGGAAGCAAGATCATCTGGAAAACAAAGAAAATTCCATTGAGACTTTGGGAGGGGTTGGAGCTCACTGGAAGGCATTCCAGTTAGCATGAACTGTTGTGAAGTTTTGGGTGAGAGAAATCCTCTTGCTTTTAGAATTATTAGCCTGGTAAAATTTAGGATTTAGATTCCGGTTTTGCTATTTTATTTCCTTCTGTAACCAATTCTGATCTTCTAGCCCAATACCACTTCATCACTTAAAATCTATCTTTCTCTAGTTGATAAATTTATTTTGATGTTTAATTTAACCAGTGAGGTTTGTCTAAAGTGCTTGGGGGATCTGCCCAGATTACAGAGACTGGGGCACGTCCACCACCCTTTGAAGGAGTGGCAAACTAATTAATGAGCTTGCATTGATCAAGAAGGTCTTGAGCAGTGTAAAACACACATTTCTGGGGTGCAAGGCAGGGGGAATTTGCTGGAGTCTCCCTGTATGGAGTTCGCGTGTGGCATACAAGAATATTCATATAACTTTGCTGGGTGTGTCTCTGCATGCTGATGGCTGAGTGAATGGAGCCTGGAGGGGTTTGCTGTTCACTAGCATAGTGTAAGGAGACAGCCTGGGCAGGAGAGTTAAAGGGGGTTCAGGGGTTCCATTGTCCAGATTGCCCCCCGGGGCATGTCACACTGGTTGGACAAACACCTGTCAGGAATGGTCTAGGTT